TATCTGAAATGATACACACAAACAACAAAAACAGACTGACTCAGCAGATCGTAATTATATATTTGTGCACACATATGTACACACATAAAATAATAATGATAGACAAATAAAAAGAAGTTATACACTTGAGAGTGGGAGGCATGTGAGACTTTGGAGGAAAGGTGCCTGGGAGGGGCTAGAGGGTAGGGATGGATGGAGGGTGAAAGTGATGTAATTCTATTTCCATTAAAAACATATTTTAAAAAGAACTCACCCTTCCTCCACAGTGGACATTTCTTGCCTACGGTGACCCTATGGTAACTGCATCAGAAGGGCTCCAGGAATTCATCACTAGACTATTGGAGAGGCTGACAGTCCGGTGTCTCTCTGATGGCCAGAGATGGAGAAATTGACAACCCTGTGTTCTCTGGACAAAAGCTTAGACTGGGTTCTCTCAGTGTGACCTCCCCTTGGACTCTTTGAGCAGCTGGTGGCAGACAAAACAATATAATGCACAGAGCTGTATTGTTCTCTCTGCCCCCGGTGAGCTGCTGGACATTCTATTGTAGAAGGTGAGTCCAGCAGGAATTGTCAGAAGTCTACACTTGACCCAGGTGCCACTGGAGGATTCCAGAAGGTGATAAGCATAGTAAGGATGGATTCCTGGAGGGAGAAAGTTGGAGAGCAGAGTGATGGGAGTGGACAAGTATTAAGAGACAGAGAAACACAAGTCCTCAGTGGCTGGCATGGTGAGATTTCAGCTGAGGAAATGTAGGAAGCTATTTGAACACCCTTCTTCTCTCTCCCACAGCTCTCTATACAGCCTTCTCTGTCGGTGCAGCCAGGCCTGATGGTGTCCTTAGGAGAAGACAGGAGCCTGCTCTTTCCATCGTGAAGCTGGGTGGAAATTTTCTTCCTGTCTAGGGAGGGACTAAAAATGCTGAAAAATTATTAGCAGAAAACTCACCTAGGAATGTGAATGGAATGATAGACCTGATCCAAACAAGCTAACTCCAGAATTCAAGGTTGGGTTTAAAATTTCCACTTGTGTGTGTGTGTGTGTGTGTGTGTGTGTGTGTGTGTGTGTGTGTGTGTCAGTGTGTGTGTGCGCGTGCGCGTGCATGTGTGGCAGGGTGTAATGTATGTGCTTCATTCACATGATATAAATAATGCGA